TTCCGGGCCACCAGCAGAAGCATCGGATGAGGCAGCTGCCCCATCGAGTGTCCTTGAAATCGAATACAGCTGCCGCTGCAAGTGCTGCACCAAGAGCCTCCTGCGTATGTGTGCCTGTGTCTGTGCAGCTCCTCTTAGGGCTTCGACTATCTGTGGAGCCAGATGTCTAGTGGAGTCTGTTGCTGCAAAAAAATTCTGCATAATTCGTGTAGAGCATTGTGTGTGCATCGATATTTGGATGTCTCTGCCTTTCGGCTTGGGGACAACTTGATGGAAATTGCTTTAATTAAAGTTGAGTTTAAGCCCTGGCTAAGGAAATCGATTGCCAAGGCAACCTTTGCGCCCCTGATTGGGTCGTTTAACCCTGTGGGTCTTTGAGGGTATTTATCCAGCCATTGTGCTGGCAGTACACACGTTCTGTTGTCAAAGTGTCAAAGTGTAATCATGCCTTGTGCGGGCGAGGCTTAAATTGAATTAATTGGCGGACACTCGAAGTAAATTAAAATTGCCCGGAACGCTTTTCATTTCTGTTCCACTTCTTGTTGCGTTCATGTCTAGCCATTAAAGAGATTACAAAAAGGGTCAAAGGGATACTCATAGCCCTCCGATTGCGATTGCTCATAATTGAGCGGCGCCTGCGGCCACCCATTGGACATTGCATTTTTCGATTTATCTTTCTTTTCTTTGATACCCTAAACAAAAGTGTAGCATAATTGAGCCCCTGATAAGCGATTTGTCTCCCCCTGAGCGAATGATTGATTAAAACATGCAGCAGCCACAGAATTAGGGAGTTTTTAAGAGTATCTAAAGCTGCGACTCCGAAATTCAATCTTTTCCCGCTTGATTGCTTTTGTTCTAGGTGTTTCAAGAGTGTCATTTTCCATTTCAAATCGACGCACACACAGAGATATTCTGACCAGCATTTGGATGGCAAACTAATTAAATTTTGCTGGCTGCGCTTGTACTTGGGAATGACTTGACTTGACTTTTGCTTGGTGGCTTGTCGCTTGGTGTGTCGGATATGGGCAGCCAAATTGGCGCCGCAAATTGGTAATTACCAAGGCTGAAGTGCATGTCAAACACGTAAAAAGGCGACAGAGTGCAGCGGGGGTGGCAGTGGCAGTGGCCAAAGAAAGACGCTTCCGCCACGTACCCCGCTAACCCTGTTCATCGTTCTGGGCTGCCGGCTGCACATTGTGCAATTAGCCAACAACGAGAATGTCGGACTACGGCGATGACAATCTAGCAAACGATGGCCACGCAAAGCAGCTGACGACGCGTGTTCTTACCATAGTGTCCTCTCCCGATTGTGTGTGTGTCTGTGTGTATCTTGTGGCCGTGGGCGTGGTCAGATGCAGTTGAGCTGCCTAATTACTTGTAAGTTGGTGAATTTGCGGCCACGGCATTACAGAGCAGAGAGCCCGAGCAACTAAATTGAATTTGACGCGCTCGGCCACTACAACCACCGGCTTCTAGAGCCAGCGGTCAATTGTTAACGGGTCGCAGACATGGCCCAGAAAGGGTAGGCACTGGAATGTGTTGGGGCACGTCGCGTGTACAGCTCTTCCTGTTTCCTGTGGAACGATAGAAGCAGTGAAACTTGCTGATTGCCAGCGTGTAATTATTTTTTAAGCACTTTGTCTGCCAGTGAAATTAGACCTAACTAAGCCAATCTCTTTTTTCCCTTTTTTTTTTTGTTTGTTGTATTTGAATAGCATGGAAGCGACAGGGAGAGACACGTCGTAGATAAATGGATAAAGAGAAAGATACAGAAAAAGATTTGGCTTTTGGGTCACACACGGCGGCTGGGGAAATCCTTGGCGCGTATATCCTGCGCTGCGCTGCGCTGCTCTCCTGTCCTGTTGTGTTCTCTCCACTTCACTGTTCTGTTCTGATCTCGGCTTTCATTTTTCGGTTGCTTTGTCCAATTAGTAACTGGTTTTTTTTTTTGGGGGAGGTCTACGATTTCATTTCTTTTATTGTGCTCGTTATCCTTTTTATTCCGAACTCCTACTGGTGCTGCTACTCGGCATCTCCGTGCGCAAATTTGATATCCTTGTTACAGCAAATTGTTGTACAATTATTCTGTCTTGCGTGTGCCACCACCTCGGTCTGTCATTGCCCCTTTAATGCCAGGCACTCTCGCACTTTCCCTTTCTCCCTGCCTCTCTCCCTCTCGCTCCCCGTTTGCCTGACCAAAACCGAAGCGAATCGAATGAAATGATATTTATATGCTCCACAAAACGTCATAGCAGCACCCTTTTCCTCCCCTCTCATTGTCATTGTCCTGCGCCAATATTGTCGCCTCTTCGATTATTTATGATCTTTACTTTAGTCGTACACTGTCCTGCCCTGGCCCTGCAGTGCTCCCCACGGGCCTGTGGCCAAGTTTTAGTAGTCATCGAAGTCCTCGTGCTTGTCCTCGGCTCAGTAATAAATTTATGCTTTTTTATTTCCTCCTGTCATAATTTTACCCTCAAATACACAGAAGAACGGCAGACGAGGATGGAGCAGGGGCAGGGGCAGGCAAGAGATGGCAGAGAGACGATAGGAAAATACTTGGGCATTTTTCCCTCAGCATTTCCTCTCGCATTCCTAAGAGTTTTCCCCTCTTCCGCAATTCCCTGTCTGCTGGCAGGGTGTGCGGTTGGTTCACTCCTTTCATGCCTGTCTAGAATTTTCCAATTGATAAATTATTTTATGGCAAATACACAAATTTTCCCCATACGCATGTTTGGGTCCCCGCTCTCTGCCCTGCCTTTACTGTGCTTCATGTGTGGCTGTGTGTGGCTGTAGTCTTGTTTGTGTGGTTTTGATACCCCTTGAAGTGGGTATGGGCAAGTGTAAATTGGAAATATTATTGTACATCATTTGGAGGAAAGGTACTCGATGTGTACGTTGAAAATATCATTTTCTTTGATGAATAACCATTTTTAGCTATTTTGTTGCCCCTTTTGAATCAAAATCTTATCTCAATAGCAACAAAATGCCTTCTCAAGGGTATCTACAGCTTCGATTCGGGGGAAAAAATTCCCACTTTCCTGGTTTTTGTTGTTTGTGTGGCTTGGGTTTCGATTTTCATTTGGGGTTTTCTTAGTCTGCCGACTGGAGTCCTCCGCATAAAATTCGTTTATTCGTTTATTCCTATGCGTAAGTAATATCCTTGCGTATTTTTGCGTATTTCCTGCCTTACCCTGATGGCCGAGTGGTCAACCCTCAATACGGACTCCATCCAGAATACACAAAATCAATCATATTTTCAACATTTTTTCCCTGTTCCCAGCTCTGACAGAACGCTCTCTTCATCAACTTCGTTTCTTTTTTTTTTTGTTGCTGGTTCCTTACATCAGAATTTGTTGCTTCGCTCAGCCCTAGACTTTATCATCGTCTTTCTTTTTTCTCTGTGCATTCCTTACCTATATCTTAGAGGAATACAAATTGGAGTCGATTTATGTAGCATTTAAGTCTGCTTGTGCTGTGGCTTTCACTTTGTACGCGTAGAGAGTGCTGTGCGGTGCGGTTCCTTATAAATATGCTACATTTACTTTAATAGAATTGTTTATGGTCGCCGTATTGGCAGCGCCTGTGCCTGTGCCTGTGCCAGTGCCTGTGGGCCATGTGCCCCATTCTGTGGATGCCCATGTATGCGGCGTTGTGGCACTGCCAAAACATGTTAAATAGAGAAATTGCAATAAAAAACGGCGCAGAAAATAGCGACAAAAACCGCGCCAAATCAAAGCCAACAAATCCAAAATGCGCACACAATATTTTGCGGGATTATTTCAGTTGGCTTGATGTCACTGGGCGTGGCGTGGTGGGGGGCGGAGGAATCACGGCGGTGGAGTGAGGCGACTATGTGCACTATCCTGTGAATCCGAGCTAAAAGTTCGGGCTACCATCCAAAATTTCTGTTAATTTGGCAGCTTGTCCTGCGTCCTGGCATTTCGTTCCTCCTTTTTCCATGCCTCTCCCTGGCAGTCATTTATATTTTGTTACGCTCTGCTTGAGTTTTATTTGCCTGTGGACCAAACGCCGACGGGAGAGAATCTGTATGTATGAATGTGTATCTGTATATACCATATATAAATGGAATATAAACGTGTACGTGTGTGTGTTTGTGTGTTTATATCTGCCTGTTTTTATACCCGGTACTCGAAGAGTAAATAAGGTATATTGTATTTGTGGGGAATAACGGTTGTATGTAACGCACAGATGGAAACGTTTCCGACCCCATAAAGTATATATATTCTTGATCAGCATCAATAGACGAGTCGATAGAGCCATGTCTGTCTGTCTGTCCGTCTGTCCGTCCGTCCGTCTGTCCGTCTTGTTTGTCGGCTAGTTCTCAGAGACTATAAGAGCTAGAGCCACCAAATTTTGCATCCAGACTGCTATATGCTCACACTGAAACCAGTGTATTTCAAAAATGAGCCACGCCCCCTTCCGCCCCCGCAAAAGGGCGAAAACCTCCCAAATCTACAATTTTGAAGATAAAAGAAAACTAAAAACGCCACTAAAATTAATTTACAGTGGCTAAACCCACCCTGTCCCGCAGCTTTTGTTGTTCTTTTCCCATTCTCTGATTTTCACTCTGTTTCTGCTTCACTTGGAGCGTTTTGGTGTGAGAAGTGTTGTAGATGTAGATGACAGATGAACAAAAAATGTAAAATTTGACAAAACACCGCTAAGGTGCAGATGTAGTCCTGAGTTCTGGGTATAAAAGTTGTGACGCGTAAGAAGCGTCTCACACGTCCCTTCTCGTCCTTTTTTTTGGGTATATTCTGTGTGCAGATATGCAAAACGCTGTGCGCACATAAATTTCAGTGCTGGGCCACGCTTATTTGCATAGGAATTATGTATTTGGGCATGGCGGCTTAGCTGCTGCATTACACACAGATACACACAACACACACACACAGACAGATGCACACCGCATAGGAGTCTCTCTCGTTGTGGTCATGTAGAAAACTAACGCATATCGTTTTCCTTGTATTTTGCAGCTATAAATTTGCAACGCCCCAGGAAAATGCATTGCAGCAAAACAAGCAATTAAATCGGAGAAGGCCTCCGTAACCCCCAGTATACCCTTCGTAGCACCCGTAACCGTAGAAGGGATACCAAGACCTGGGACCAGGGACCAAGGACCAAGCACCAACGACCAGGTCCTGCTGCTGTGCTATAAACCTATTTTGAATAATTAAAATTCCGTAAGTGCTGCAGTCGAAGAAGTTGGCCAGAGGCACAAGAATAAGTAGCAACAAAAAGGAAAGCTAGCAGAGGGCCCCGAACGGAGTCTTGTCCATTCTTGCAACACAATCTGCGGCCGTGCAAAATCGTGTGCAGCAATGAAATAATTAATTCAATGCACCTGACAAATCCTTGTGGCAGCAACAAGAGAAGCGGCAGCAGCAACAAAGGAGCCACCATTCCAAATACTTTCCATTCCAACAAAAGCAGCAACAAAATGGCGAGGATAACGCGAACAATTAGCCAACAAAGACACCATATCCACGAGAGGAGCCTGCCCCACACACTGCTCCTGGCCATTGCAGCCATCGCTTTGTTGCAACTGCAGCACTTCGAAAGCGGTAAGTCAAGACCAAAAAAACAGAAAGATATCCATGGACTATCCTCCATGCAATTGCAAATTCAATCGCGTGCAACAGAGCCAAGTCAATCAGCAAGTCCAAGTGAGATTCGAGAGCCAAGTCCAAGTACCAACCGCAAAGCCATTCAATTGACAATCCCACAATTGGTGCCACAGCGGGAGGGGGTAGAGCAAGTAGAGCTGGAGTTTCCCAGCTCGATGACGGAGCTTTGTCGGCCGGCGAATTAATCTTACGGATGAATATTTCAAAGCGAAACTTGAGCAATTAATTTCGCTAATTGCTTTTCTTCGCTTCGTTTTTGTGTGGCAAGAAGACGTCCCCTCGAATCGCGAATCTCGTATCCAAACCGCTCCCTTCCCGCATCTCCCTTCAACATTCACGGGCTTTTGCATTTAAATGCCCCGGCAGTTGGTGCATTTTCGAGGACTCAACTTTTGCCTGTGCATAAAACTCAATCTGACATTTATGCGAATGTCCACGGAATCAAATAAGAGTAATGACATTGCCATGGAAAGAGGCGACGACGCAAAGGGAGTGGCCAATGGGGAGCAGACGATGAAGCGTCTTGGGATCTGTTCGAGTTCGGGGCTCTGCCACGGAGTGTGGCAGTGGCAGTGGCAGTGCAATGTCCTTTGGCTACTCAAACATTCCAGTGGCTATTAGTATTCATATCTTGACTGAACTAAACTGAAAGCTTAAATTCCTCTGGCCATTCTTGCTCTCTCTCTCTCGCTCTCTCTCGTCCTTTGTGCACTTTCGATGGATGGGAACGGGCACTGGCACGAGCATGGGGGGGGGCCTCCGTTTTTATCTGCCAACGTTTGCATGAATTTTCATTTCGTGCTAGAATTGTTGAAAAAGATGCAATTAAATTTTAGGGCCAAGGGTGTCAGCAAAAGAAGGGGAGACACAAAGCAAAAGTTGAAGGCAAGAAAAAAGCAGAAGCAGATGGAGATGGACATGGACATGGACCCAAAGGGCGTCCCTCCCAACACAGATAGATAAATGTACATGTATATAGTAAAAAAGCTCAGCACGAAATATTCCAAGTCCCTGACAGTGTCCCCGTCCTTTCTCCTACTTTTCTTTAGCTTCTTTGGGATGGTATGCTCCATCTCTGTCGTTCCGTTGTGCGGTTGCAGCTGCCGTTCGGTGGCAAGAACGCATTATTAATTTATTTTTCAACTTGCAAGATGAATAAGCAAAGAGCAAAAATGCGCTCCTCAAACGCTGCTTTGGATGCAGTCAAGCAAAAGTTCCCAATTTAAACGTCGTCCCAACGCCAGACACTTCCCCCACCACCACCACCTAGCAACGCTTCTTTCAGCTCCTCGCACCCATTGTCGGGTCATTTTGCATGCAGTTTGCTGGCAAACGTGGTTTCGGGACGAAGGATGAACGTGTCTCGAACGTACTTCAATCTGCTGTCCATCACTGTCTTCGATCGTGCCTCACCGCAAGGAAATAAAATCCAAAAGTGAATAATGAACCGCAAATAACTTTACTTTGTCTTCTGTTCGAGGAGCGCAGCTTGCAACTCCCGGAATCATTCCTGCCAGCTGCAACTCCCTTTTGTACTTCAAAATACACCACTCTGTTGCTGCTGTTTTTGTTATACTCTTTACAGGTAGAGGGGATGCTGATTTTATGAAGGACTTTCAGCATTTTTTTTTTAGATTTTTGTTCAGAAATTGGTTCAGATAAAACGCTTAGAATGAACATTTTACCATAGAAAGAATCACGTTTCAAGAGTATATACGTTTTCGGTTTCTGTAACTCTCCTTTCTTTTCCTTGTTTCAAAACTGCTGCAGGACGTTTGTCTGCCCCATTTGGTTGCATCCATCTACAGCTCCTGCACCAGCGGACTGTCAGAGCAGTTACTGCTAGTGTCAGTAACAATTAGTTTGGTTTGTACTCTAGTTAACTGTCCTTCTACTGCTTTGGAGTGGAGTCGTCCTCTTCGCCGTTTCAAATATTTGCATTTGTGGTTGTCGATTCCCTCTGTCCTTCCCTCTCCTGTTTGATTCATTTTTCGTATTATTTCCTTAGCTTTTTCTGCATTTTCCCCACAATTAATGAGGTGCCAAACGCTTGCTAAATGATCGCTTACACAGTACTCGTTCGCATTGGTGTCTAATCTTCATCTTCATTAATGCCGAATATAGAGATATATTGTGACATAAATCACACAATCAAATTATGTATCTACATGGCCCCCGAGGGTCCGTTCCTGAATGGGGTTCTCTGTGCTTTGCTGTGGTTTTTGGATTAAGATTCATCTGTCCAACCCAACTAATCAATTTGACATAGGTAGAGCGGTTTGCCTCCGCAGAAACTTTAACTCTGGCAAAAACTTTCAATATTTGAGTAGAAAACTTTTCCCACTCAGATAACACATTTCCCCAAATACACATTATGTATGTATATACTCTGATAACACTTTCCCCCCATTTATACACATAAATAAATGTATGTATATCTGGGCATAAGTAAGTGAAATTTATTAACTGCATGAACCACAGCCGAAATGCAAATAAATCAGACCTTGGCCATCAGGTGTGGCAGTGCAAAAGTTCTTGGGTTAAACAAGGCCCAAATGCCAGGAGGCATAAACTATGGCATGGGTTGGCAAACAGAAACAAAAAGAAAATAAAAATACAAAAATCGGAAAACAGCAGCAAAAAGGATATTGACGTGTGACGGGCACGATTGGAGTGGAGAGGCTCTTGAGTTGGGGTGGCATTCGGTTATCCAAAAGAAGGCTATAACACATCCATCAACCATCCATACTGGTTGCTCGCTCCCTTTTTTTCTCCTCCCCCCTCGCTCACTGTATAACGCTTATCCCCGCACTTTGCTTGTGGCAGTGTCAAGTATTTGCACTTGAATCGCGCGCTAAGCAAAATTTACGCGCATTTGTTTGTGCGACTCCAGAGAATTTGCTCGCCAAACTCAAGTGAAAATCGATGGGCCATACATGTGTTCATCTGTGTGTAGGTGGTGTGTTTGTGTGTGTGTGGCTCTGCCATTGTTGCTTGGCCACAATGTTTTCTTTTCCGCCTCCGTTTCGTTTCGTTTCACTCGGCTTTTTATTGGTTTCGTTCGCTTTTTTTTTTGTGTGTTGGTTTCTGTTGTTGTCACTGCCGCTGCCACTGTGTGTCCTGCTTCTGGTGTCATGAGCAAAGGAGCAGCATTTGAGCAAACAAACTAGACCTGCCACCACACACACAGACACACAATCAAACATACAAAGAGAAAGGGGGAGAGACAGAGCCAGAGAGAGAGAAACACTTAAAGCTTTCATCCTGGAGCACATATTGCTTCATCTCTTTACGTGTGGTTTCCCCGGGACCCGGACAGGCATCAAAACTGTCGACAACATCAACGTCAACGGCATCATCATCGCCACGAAGCTCCGGATACAGCTTCAGCTCGCATGTCCTTCAACAGATACAGCTCCTTCCTTCGGCAACAGCTCTTCCTTCAGCTACAGCGCTTCCTTCAGCTACAGCCTACTTTTCCAGCAACAGCTCTACCTCCTCCGGCAACAGTTCCATCTCCTTCTCCAGCTACAGCTAGAGCTTCAACTTCAGCTTCAGCTCCTACTCCAGATCATCCGAACAGCCTCAGCATCTCCTCCATCATTATGGGCTTCGTCTGGCACTTCACAAAAATGCACACAAAATCCTCAACTTTATCTCGTCAATAACTTAAGTGGCAGTCAGGGGTTGTGGGCTGTGGGCTGTGGGATTCTGGGACTGGTTTCTAGTTCCTGGTTATGGGCCTCGTTCGTTTATTCCACCTTTTTACACTCCCTCGTCATGCCACAATTCATTTATCGGCAGAGGAAAAATAGCATGAACTCTGTTTTAGCACGTACTGCGGTTGCATGTGGCAAAAGGCTTGCAAATGATTATTTTATTGACAATTAAATCATAAACATAAAAGCACAAGCCGTACAAATCAACTAAAGAGAAAGTGATGAGGGAGAAATTTTATTGCCATGAATTTCAAGAGTTGACATTAGTCACAGAGAAGCGGAATGAACGCTGCTCTGGCTCTTTATTCCATTCTATATGGAAACGATTCCAGTTTATTGCTGCATTTAAGCCCAGAGATGGCAACGCACTCAAATGCAGACATCAGAGGGGTGGAGCGTTTCATGTGTGGCAGACAGTGCGGACTTGTTGCCACGTTTGACCATGGCAATGGCATTAGATCTCACATATCCCTGCAACAGCTGCTATAGAGACAAACACATGTACATGTACTGCTCAGAAACATCTTTGAAATGATTTGGCAACATCGTTTTTGCTTTCTATATTAAAAAGTTAATTGCTCTCGCTCTGTCAGTGATGAAATTGTGTTGCCCCGATTAACGTGTTTTTGCAAAGTTGAACTTGCAACTGGCATTGCCGCTAACTGCTAACTGGAGCTGATTGAATTTCAACTGAATGTCAGAAAAGGAGAATGGGCAATGGGGAAAACGGCAGCAGCTCAGCTACCACTCTGCACTGCAAACCATATTTAATTTGTGTGCAAATGCTCGGCAAACAAGTTTCTAATAAAATAAAGTGACTCTCTCTGTCCATCTCTGTGTCTGTCCTTCCCTGCCCTGCTCTGTTCTTAGTTCTACCCCTCAACGGGTAGTTTCATTAGAATTTCAGAGCGGCCCTCTCATTTGGGTGTGCGGAGTACGACTATGCTGTTGGCTTAAACCAGAAAACCATTTCATTATGGCCCTCGCCTAATGTCGGGGCCAACGGCTGAGCAATTTTAATTTTGCAGCGCATTGGCTCTGGCTCTGGCCAAGTCCTTTGTCTCTTCCAGAGAAGGAGCTCTCCCAGCAAATTGACATGGAATTGCAGTTGGACTTGGTCCTGCACAGTGTGGACTACACTTTGGGAGTGGTTTACCATACTCTTACACTCCACTCCACTCCACTCTCCACTCCTTTTCTTGCCTTTGTTTTGCCTGC